CTGCTTAGCAGAAGCCCTGAGCTTGGTCATGGCTGGCGAGCACAGAGCGGCAGTGGCGGGAGCTCTCCTGCCTCTGCGCAGTGTAAAGGATGTCCTAAACCTTCAGTCAGACATCCCCTGAGGCTCCCAGACTGGAAGAGGGTGCAGGCCGGGCTGAAGGACCCCCCTCAGGGGCATGAATTTCATGCACCGGGCCTCTAGGGGGTGTGTGTGTGTGTGTGTGTGTGTGTGTGTATATTTATTTAATTAATTATATATATATATATATTAATTTCGAAGAGGAGGGGAAAGGGAGAGAGAGAAACATCAATGATGAGAGAGAATCATTAATTGGCTGCTTCCTACACACCCTGTACTGGGGATTTAGCTCACAACCTGAGCATGTGCCCTTGACCAGAATTGAACCCAGGACCCTTCAATCCACAGGTCGATGCTCTATCCACTGAACCAAACCAGATAGGGCTATGTCATGCTTATTTTGATTCTTATTTTCTATATTGTGGCCGATTAGGTGGCCAAGAAGTACTTGAGTAGAGCAGAACACAACTCTCAAATAGACTTAGTGTCTCGATGGATTGATCTAAGGCTGCAAATCTAGAGGACAACTTAGTCTTCATCTATTAATATGGGGATTGTTAACCACACCCTTAATTCACCCAAGTTTGTGCTTGGGAGTTCAGATCAGCTGTTGCTCTGTTTCCCAGAAGTGTGCTAGCCACTCTGTCTGGAATTTGTGGCTTGGAGAAGGCTGCTGCTGCTACTGCAGGGCTCTTGACCAGTGGTCAGTGTGGTCAGCTTGCACTTTTCCAAGCCAGCCAAACTTCACAGGGACTGTGTTAGTAGCTTCGTGTGGCCCAGGCAACAGGCCTCGCAGGTGCCAGCCCCAAGCCCTGTAGGATAATTCTTCTTGCAGCTTGCTCTTCCCCTCCCAGGCTGTCTTTTACAGATTGCTCCATTTCTTTTGCCCATTTCTTTCTTCTAGCTTCATCTCCTCAGCCCCGAGAAGCTCTCAGTTTCCTACGTCAAGTATTTTGAGTCTGTCATTAGGAGCCACTAAACAAAGCCTCAAACAAAAATGAATCAAATTTCAGGATCCATTCCAAAGAAGAACAGGCTTATAGTGCTAACATGGGCTTATTTGCTTAAGGAGCAAGTCTAATTCATGAGCTGGCTGCATGGGCCCGCTCGGGAACCACAGTGGACACACTGGAATGAGTTCCTCTGGCATAGGATTGAGGCATCAAACTGATTTTTAAATCTCTCTCTCTCTACCTTTCTCAGTTGGACTGAGATTTGCTTAATCTTTAATCTTTATTCTTCTAAAAGCATATCTGATGAGACCAGTGTTCAGATTTAGATTATAGGCTATGTCTTGGCTCTTAAAATTGGAAACTCCAAAAGAAACAAACTACCAACTCTATAAACAGACTTGCAAAGACTCACCAGACCTTCTAGTCACAATCATTTCTAAGAGGAATTGCCAGACCTTGTTTCCTTCAAAAAGTGGAAACTGTAGAATAAATAAAGTCAGTAGAATCATTACTGTCACAATGAATTCAAAATTTTAAAAATAGTTATATTCCTATACTATAATTTTTATTTATTTTATTTATTTTAAAATATATTTTTATTGATTTCAGAGAGGAAGGAGAGGGAGAGAGATAAAAACATCGATGATGAGAGAATCATTGATCGCTTCCTCCTGCATGCCCCATATTGGAGATTGAGCCTGTAACCTGGGCATATGCCCTGACTGGGAATCAAATCCTGGTTCATAGGTTGACACTCAACCACTGAGCCACGCTGGCTGGGCACAATGAATGCAAATTAGCATCAAATATATCATGGGCAAAATGCAGGTATTATATTACTATAATTTTCCAAACAACTTGGACCTGATAAAATGATGTCTTATTTTTGCAGGCTAAGAAATTTAAATAGTAAGTTGCCTTTAAATATAATATATATATATATATATATATATATATATATATA